CAGGGTTGTTGTATGGATCAAATGATGTGATATTTGTAAAGTGCTTAGTATATAAATGCTTATTCTCTTCCCCACCTAGCTAGAGCCTTAACTATACCCTGCTAAGTGCTGCAGATAAAAAGGCAAAAGAATATAGAGAACTAAGTCAAATGTATAAGAATACAAGTCATTCCCCAGTTGATAAATGATCAAAGGATATGAACAGGCAGTTTTCAGATAAAGAATTTAAAGCTATTTATAGTCATGTGAAAAAATGCTCTTAATCACTATTTCTTTCTTTCTTTCTTTTTTTTTTGCTTTTTTTGTGAGGCAATCAGGATTAAGTGACTTGCCCAGGGTCACACAGCTAGTAAGTGTCAAGTGTCTGAGACTGGATTTGAACTCAGATCCTCCTGACTCCAAGGCCAGAGCTCTATGTACTGCTCTACCTAGCTGCCCCACTAAATCACTATTGATTAGAGAAATTCAAATCAAATCAAATCAAAATCTGAGATCTCACATCCTACCTATCAGATTGGTTAACATGACAAAACAGGAAAATGATAAATGCTGGAGAAGATGTGGGGAAAATGGAACACTAATGCATTGTTGGTGGACTTATGAACTGATTCAACCATTCTGGAGAGCAATTTGGAACCATGCCCAAGAGCTATAAAACTGTCCATGCCCTTTGACCCAGTAGTACCACTTCTAGGTCTGTTTCCCAAAGAGAGCACACAAATGGGAAAAGGACCCACATGTGCAAAAATATTTATAGCAGCTCTTTTTGTGGTGTCAAGGAATTGGAAATTGAGGGGATGCCCATCAGTTGAGGAATGGCTGAACAGGTTGTGGTATATGAATGTAATGGAATATTATTGTGCTATAAGAAATGATGAGCAGGCAGACTGGAAAGACTTATATGAACTGATGCTGAGTGAACCAGGAGAACATAGTACACAATAACAGCCATGTTGTGGGATGACTAACTTTGATAGACTTATCTCTTCTTAGTAATACAAGAATCTTGGACAACTCCAAATGACTCATGATGGAAAATACTATCCACATCCAGAAAAAGAACTATGGAATCTAAATGCCTATCGAAGCATATTATTTGCTCTCTCTCTCTCTCTCTCACTCTTGCTTCTTCTTTCTTATGGTTTCTCCCATTAGTTCTAATTCTTCTTTATAACACGACTAACATGAAAATAGGTTTACTATGAATGTATATGTTGAGCCTATATCAATTTTACATGCCAACTTGGGGTGAGGGAAGAGGAGAGATAGGGAGAAAACTTGGAACTCAAAATCTTATGGAAGTGAAGGTTGAAAACTAAAAAAAATAAATAAATAAGTTTATTAAAAAAAAAGAAAGAAAGAAAGAAAGGCAAAAGACAATCCCTGCTGTCTAGGAGCTCACAATCTAATTGTGGAGACAACATGCCACCATGAGATAAATCCAAGGTCATTTCAGAAGGAAGGCACTAAGATTAAGCAGAACTGAGGAAAGACTTCTTGTAGAAGGAAGGACTTTAGCAGAGATCAATAAACATTAGGTGTTTATTGTGTGTGCTAGGTGTGCGAAGGTGTGCCAGGCACTGTGCTCAGTGGTGGGGATACAAAAAGAGCTGGGACTTTCAAGAGCCAGGAAAGCTAGGAGGCAGAGATGAGAAAAGAGAGCCAGGCATGGGGGTTAGGGGTGGGCAGCCAGTGAAAATGCCAGGAGCTGAGAGATGGGATGTTGGGTGCCAGAAAGAGCCAGGCAGTCAGTGTCACTGGATTGAAGTGTGCTTGTGGGGCAACAAGATGTAAGAAGACTGAAAAGTTAATCTGGGGCCAGGTGAGGAAGAGTTTTAAATGGCAAACAGAAGATTTTATATTTGCATATTGCTCTATGGAGACAATGTTGTTGTTCAGTCGTGTCTGACTCTATTTGATCCCCATGGGCCACAGTGCACCAAAGCCTTCTAATTCATGTTGCTTGCTTTTATGGAACCATCTATCCATCTCATCCTCTGCTGTCCCCCTTTCCTTTTGCCTTCGATTGTCCCCAACATCCAGGTCTTTTCCAATGAATCCTGTCTTCTTATTATGTGGCCCAAGTAGTTAAGCTTCAGCCTCAGTATTTGACCTTCCAGTGAACAGTCTGAATTAATTTCTTTAATCATTGATTGATTTGATGTCTTTGCAGTCCAAGAGACTCTCAAAAGTCTTCTGTAGCATTGCAATTCAAAAGCATTGATTCTGCAGCATTCAGCTTTCTTTGTCGTCTGGCTCTCATTATCACGTAATACTACTGGAAAAACCATAGCTTTGACTCTGCAGACCTTTGTTGGCAAGTTGATGTCTCTGTTTTTTCTATGCTCTCCAGATTTACCACAGCTGTCCTTCCAAGGAACATCTGTTTGTTTTTTTTTTTTAATTTCATGAATGCAATCACCATCTGCTGTGATCTTTGAGCCCAAGAATATAAAATCTGATGTTGCTTCCATTTCTTCCCCCTCTTATTTGCCAGGAAGTGATGGGACCAGTTGCCAAGATCTTAGTTTTTTGGGAACTAAGCTTTGAGCCAGCTTTTACACTCTTCTTTCTTACCCTCATCAAGAGGCTTCTTAATTCCTCTTCACTTTCTGTCATCTGAATGGTATCATCTGCATATCTGAGATTGTTACTATTTCTCCTGGCAGCCTTAATTCCAGCTTTTGATTCCTCCAGGCTGGCATTACGTATAATGTACTCTGCATGTAAGTTAAATAAATAAGGTGACAATGTATGGTCTTGTCGTACTCCTTTTCTAATCTTAAACCGGTTAGTTGTTCCATATTCAGTTCTAACTGTTGCTTCTTGACCTGTGTACATATTCCTCAGGACTGATGACCACTGAGAGGGTCAGATGCTACCTGCCTTCCCATCTTCTGATTGGTTGACATGGTAGGTTCAGAACTAGCCTCCCTTGGGGAGGTGGGTAGTCCTAGCCTCACTCCCTGCTCCACCTCCCACCTTCCACTTTGGAGATCACTGCCTTCATGCAGCTGGAGACCACCAGCTCGAACTGGTCAGACCAAGATCATTGAGGAGCAGGATTTTATTATTTCCTTTTTACAGAAGAAGAAACTGAGGCTTGGGAAAAGTATTCCCATTGGAAAAGAGTAGGGTGCTCAAAGACACCCTGGTACCATCTAGAACCCTTCTCAATCTCTTTTTATCTTAAAATCTTTTCCTCTCACATCTTTTCCATTAGCTGGGGCAGCTCACTGAAACCTCAGACCCCTCTGACACACAGGACCAGAGGAAGGAGTTTGCCTCCTGCTTAATCCCCACTGATTCTTTCAGACCCTTCCTCTTCTTCCATCACTAAATAACCCACTTCTTCTACCTTCGATAAATCTCTCAAATATGTCCTTTTCTTTCCTCTGACACTGCCGCTGTCCTGGTGAGGGCTCTCATTCTGGACTGTTGCAGTAGACCCCAGTGGGTCTCCCTGCCCTATCTCCTCCCCACTCCAATCCATACTCTACTCAGCTAATTGATCTTTATAAAATACACATCTGTTCCTCCTACTGGTTTTAATTTTTACTTACATCACTAATGTGAAAATATGTTTCGTAGGAATGTATATGTATAGCCTATATCAGATTGTGCGCCATCTTGGGAAGGGTGGTGGGGAGGAAGGGGGAGAAAACTTTTAAACTGAAAAGCATATGGGATTATTGATAAATCAAAATAAATTAATAAAAAAATAAAAATAAATAAAATACAGGTTTGACCATGTCAACCACCTCCTCCCTATTCAATAAACTCTGCTGGCTCCTTTCACCTCCAGGATCACATATAAAAGCTCTCTTCTGTTTGGTGTACAAACGCCTTTGTACCTGGCCCCTTCCTACCTTTCCAGTCTTACCTAACTCCCCTTCACTTACTGTCCTATCCAATAACACTGCTGTTCCTTCCACTGGACACCGAGTCTCTGGACTCTTGACCTTTTCATTGGCTATCTATCCCCCATGCCTGGAAGTCTCTCCTTCCTCATCTCCACCTCCTGGCTTCCCTGACTTTCTTTAAGTCCCAGTTACAATCCCATCCTCTATAGGGAACTTTTCCCCATCGTCCCTAATATTAGTGCCTTCCCTCTGTTGATTCTCCCCAATTTATTCTGTCTATATCTTGTTTGTACACAGTTGACATGTCGTATCCTTCAGTAGACTGAACTCCTTGAGATCAGGGACTGTCTTGTACATTTCTTTATATCCCCAGCCCTTAGCACATAGTAGGCACTTACTAAATCAGGCAGCCAACAAATGTTTGTTGATCAGCTCCTTTAAAATTTAATCCATCTTGTCTACTATGTGCCTTAGCCTGGCACATAGTAGGCACTTATTTAATTGATCAGGCAGCCAATAAATGTCTTGTTGACCAACTCCTTTAAAATTTACTCCATTTTCTAGATCATCTTATCATCTGTGAACCTCCAGGTCACTCTCTCTCCTTTCCAGTAAGTCCTTATCCTGGGAAGGAGGGAAGAAAGGAAGGAGAGAAGGGAGAAAAGAAGGAAGAAGGGATGAAGGGAGGGAAGGAAAGAAGGAAGGATTTCTAGTCTATAAATTATGGACTTATAGGTTTAGAACTGGAAGCCATCTTGGAGTTCATACCATTTACATGATATCCTGGCCAGGTTACTCTGTCCTTTTATAGATGAGGCTTTAAGAGAGGTGAAGCAGCTATCTCAGGTCAAATAGAGTTGAACCAATACTCAAACCCCTATTCTTGAAATGCAGAGTCAGCCCTCCCAATGTGACACCCCATCTCCCATTTTATTAGCTGTCCCCCAGTGATGAGCACCACAGCAAGGTAAACTTGGTGATAGCTCAATGAGGCAAGCTAAAAAAATACAGGAACAGGGCTGTGAGCTGCACTTTCAAGTTTTATTTAAATTCTGACCCCTGCCTTCGGAGGAAGTGAAACAGTGAATGTTGCATAGCATTCTCTCCTACTGGTTTTCTGTTGGACTCTCAAGGTTGCTATAGGTAAAATGGCTTCAAGGGTCCCCATCGAAACGGGATAGGTTTCGAATCTGAAGGGAATTGTGTGTCAGTCGGTTCCCTGGGTCCACCAATCTCAGGAAGCGGATAATTAAGTTCCAGGGGTTTTGGAAATCTCTTAGACTGATACCTAGTTTTGTATTCTGGGATCTTTTTTGGGTCCAAGGAAGGATAGTAATCACTAGGGCAGATTCTGGGCTGTGCCTGAGGAGCCTTCTGGGCTAGTTCCTGAGAGAAGGCACAGGGCTCTAGGTCTTTTGTTATCATTTGAGGATCCCTGAAAGCTGGGTATCCTTTCATCAGCCTCGATGTAGATGGGGAAACAGCTGGGCAAAATTCTTTCTGCCGTAACTGGGCTTCGATCTTCCGTTGCTGTGGAACCAAAGCAGACACAAGTCAAGGGCTGAGAGGAGGAAGGGATCACCTACTTCACATTTTTTTCCAGGGTTCCTCAATTCATTTGTCACCCACCTTCTTGCTGTTCCTCAAATGCAATGGTACATCTCCCACCTCCAAGTCTTTGCTCTGGCTTTGGCTATGCCTGGAATCCTTTCCCTTTTCACTTTTGCCTTCCTTTAAGACTCAGTTTGAATCCCACTGTGGGCAGGAGGCCTTTCTTTATTCCCTCCCCCACCCCAACTGCTCACTCTTTCAATGTGAGATTATGTTCCATCTATTCTGTATATATCTTGCAGGTACCTGGTTATTTACATGATATCCTGCCCTGTAGAATGGAAGCTCCTTGAGGTCTTTGTATCTTCGGTGCTTATCAAAGTGCTTGGCACGCAGCAAGGGTTTCATAACTGCTTGTTGACTGACTGACTGACTGAACTTATAAAGGGAAAGGGTCCTCTCATAATGGAAGCTCCCAAGCCCTCCAAGAATCTGGCTGACTTCTCTTCAGAAATCTGCACCTTGGTTTCCAAGGAGGGAAAGTGTGGTGGTAGAACTACCAATAGTCTTGAGGTTTAGATCATCTTGCTCTAATGAATTAGTTATGCTCTAAATTGGCCAGGTCATTAACGTTTCTGAGCCTTAGTTTCCTCATCTGTAAAAGAAAGGGTTCAGCCAGAGGGTTGATTTCCTTCTTCCATCAATGCAGGATGGCACCTTGTCCACAGCTTTAGAGATCTGTCTAGAGCACAAAGAGATTAATTGGATCATCCAGCCAAGGTGAGTCAGAGAACCCAGGGGCTTCCTGGATCCACAGCAAAGCAAAAATAGTCTCTGCCCTCAAGGAGCTTACAAATTCCAATGGAGAAAGCAACATATATGCAGATAGGTGCATACACGATAAAGTCATGACAGCAATAACAAGGAAAAAATGGAAAGAATAAGCAAAGAAGGAAAAATACGATCACTTATTTGCAGATGATATGGCTCATTTAGAGAACACCAGAGTAAATTAAAACATCAACACCATTAATAACTTCAGCAGAGTTGCAGTATATGAAATAAATCCACCTAATCATAAGCATTTCTATGTATTACCAACAAAAACTGGCCAGAAGACATAGAGAAATTCCATTTAAAATAACAACAGCATATATACAATATCAAAGGATCTACTCACCTTCATGACACACATGGGAACTGTATAAATAAAATTATCAAACACTTTTAGTAGAAATAAAGACAGGTCTAAATAATGGCAGAAATGTTTATTGTTCATTGACAAAATGAACCAATATGATAAAAATGACAATACTACCCAATTTAATTTATTTATTTAGTCACATCAATTGAACTACCAAAGGATTAATTTGGAATTCTTTTTTTTTCTTTTTGGTGAGGCAATCAGGATTAAGTGACTTGCCCAGGGTCACACAGTCAAAGGATTAATTTGTAGCATGAGGAAAAAATAATAATAAAATTATCTGGATGAACAAAAGGTCGAGAATCTTAAGAAAAGTAATGAAAAAGAATTAAGTAATGCTAGGAGCACCAGCTCTCAAACTATATTACAAAGCAACAATCATCAAAGTGATTTTGTACTAGTTAAAAAATAGATTATCAGTGGAAGACATTAGGTATACAACATATAGAAACAAATAAACCTAATAATCTAATGTTTGATAAACCCCCGAACACCAGCTCTTGGGTAAGGATTTACTATTTGTTAAAAACTGCTAAAAAAACAAACTAAAACAAAATCACACAGCAGTCTGGCAGAAATTAGGCTTAGACCAACACTTTACATAATTTCCCAAATTAGCTCCAAATGGATGTATCATTTAGCTTTAGATAGAAAATGTCACATGATAAAAAAAAATCAGAGAAACAAGGAAGACATTTTATTTTGGATCTATGGTTGGGGAAGAATTCATGATCAAACAAGGGTTAGAAGGGATCACAGCATATAAAATGGGCAATTTTGATTACATTGAATTAAAGTAGCTTGCACGAACAAAACCAATGCAGCTAAAATTAGGAGAGAAACAGCTAAATGTGAAAAAAAATCTTTGCAGCAAGTTTCATTGATAAAACTCTCATTTCCAACATATATAAGGAATTGACTCAAATTTATAAGAATAAGACCCATTCTCCACTTGAGAGGTGGTCAAAAAATATGAGCAGGTAGCTTTCAAAAGAAATCTAAACTATCAACAGTCATATGAAAAAAATGTTTCAAATCACCGCTAGTTAGAGAAATGCACATTCAAACAACTCTGACGTTCCATCTTACAACCATTAGATTAGCAAATGAGAAAAAAGGAAACTGGAGGAGCTTCAGAAGAAAAGGAATATTAATACCCTGATGGTTGAGCTGTGAATTGTTCCAGCCATTCTGGAAAGCAATTTGGAACTATGCCCATAAGTTTACTAAGCTATATATGTATACTTTTTGACCCAACTAAATGATGAAAGGGATGGATGGGTGCAGAGAAACCTCGGAAGGAAGGGGAGAAGGAGAGAGGAAAGGAAGAAAGGAGGGAAAGAAGGAAGGAAAGAAAGAAGGGAGGAAGGAACAAAGGAAAGAAGGAAGGAAGGACAGAGGTATAGAGGAAGGAGTGAAAGATCTGCATTAGTTCATGAAGCATGAAGGAAACAAACCCAGGAGAACAATTTCTACAACAACAAGGATAATGAAAAGACAAACAACTTTGAAAGACTTAAGAACTCTGATCAATGCAATGATTAATTTCAGAGGACCAATAATGCTACCCACCTCTGGACAGATGGGTGATGACCTCAAGATGTACAATGAGACATTTATTTTTGGATGTGGCCAATATGATAATTTGTTTTGTTTGACTATGTATATTTGTCATGAGGTTTTTTTTTCTTTTTCTTTTTCTTATATTTTTATCAGTAGAGGAAGTGGGATGGAGAGAAAATAAATGCTTGTTAACTGAAAATTGTTTAAGAGGTTAAAAAAAAAAGGTAAACCCAGAGCAGTTGGAAGTTAACTTTTGAAAAGAAGTCCCTAGTAGAATCTGGTGGGATCGGGAAAGGATCCCTGCAGAAGGTGGCATTTGAGCTGAGTCTTACAGGAAGTCAAGGATTACAATGAGAAAATTCATGGTGGGGAGGACCTTCCAGGCAGTGGGGACAGGCAGTACCAAGGCACAGGGATAGGAGATGGGGCACCATGTTCAAAGAATGGCAGGTAGACCAGTATGGCTGGATTATAGACAGCATGGAGCAGAATGGGCAAGGAGATGTCAATTTCATTTTTATCCTTGTATCTCCACAGTGCCTCACATATAATGGCATTTTATAAATGTTTGTTGATCAACTTTTTAAAAATATATTTATTTTTAACATTACTTACTTAAAGAAAAAAAAGCATTCCTTGCCTACTTACACTTCCTTTTTTTGTTTTTTATTTTGAGTTCCAAAGTCTCTACCTTACTCCAGTTTCTCCCCTAACCATTAACTGGGGAATGGGTAGATGAGTTGTGGTATGTGATTGTGTTGGAATACTACTGTGCTGTAAGAAAGGATAAGCTGGATGATTTTAGAAAAACATGGAAAGATTTGCATGAAATAATGAAGAGTGAAATGAGCAGAACCAAGAGAATGTTGTGTATAGTAACAGCAATATTGTTTGAAGAATACTGTGAATGACTAAGTTATTCTGAGTATTATAAATATTCAAATCAACTACAAAGGACCCATGAAGATGCTATCCACCTCCAGAGAAAGAATTAATAAATGGAAGTATGCCTGGAAGTATGCATAGCATGGTTTTACACACACACACATACATATAGGTAATCTGTATCAAATGGTGGAGTATGAGAGGAAGGGAGATAGTCTGGAACTTAAAATATAACAAAAAATAAATTAAATTTTAAAATTCTATTAAGATTAGCATTATAAAAAAGACAAATAAAATTATATAAATTATAGATGTGAAATCATGCAAAGCATATTTCTGTATTAGCCATTTTGCAAAAAAAAAAGAAAGAAAGAAAGAAAGAAAAAGAAAGAAAGTGAAAAAATGATACTCCATCACTCAAAATTCATCAGTTCTCTCTCTGGAGGTGGATGGCATGTTTCATCATGAGTCCTTTGTAATTGTCTTGAATCCCTGCATTGATCAGAATAGTTGATCATGACCAACTGATTGTAGTATAGTAACTCTAAGGTTGAATTAAGCTATTAACCTGTATGTCCTGATCTGCGTCTAAAGGGCCTAGAACTTGGAGTTCTGAGACCCAAATGGCTTCAGATTTCATGCTACTTACCATGTGATCTGGGGCAAATCAACCTCTCTGGGTCTCAATTTCTTCCTCCAGAAAATGAAGGAATAGTACTGGATGTCCCCTGAGAGCTCTTTCAGTGCTTGTCCCATTTCGGCTCTTTGCCCCTCTGAGCTTTGTGGCTGGGACCCCTTCACTGCCACCTGTCACAGACTTGGAGACCGAACTCATCCTAGGCATGAGAACGTCCACTAGCTCCCAGTTTGGGCTATTCAGCCTTGCTGCCCATCCTGCTCTCACCTGCCCTTCTGTTTCCAAGGCTCTGCACTTGTTACGCTGTGACTCAGCCGGGTCCTTGAAGCTCAGTACCAATGGATTGACTTTTAGCTTGACCTCTTGTGCTTGTGTGGCTTTCTTCCAGGTACCCTAATTCCTTCAGGGCTGTGCAGCTACCTTGTCTATTTCCCGTCTTTCGTTTCTAATTCTGTCCCTGAACCTCAGCTCTAAGGTTGGAATATAAACACCTTGAGGGCAAGGATTTTTTTCCTTTTCTTTTTGTTGGCCTTTTTGTCCCTAATGCTTAGGCCAGTACTTGGCATTGAGTGGGCAATGATGGGTGCCAGGATGCTGGTGAGAACCTGCCATCCATTGGCTGTGTGGCTCTCATTTGGTCACTTGTCCCATCCCTAGACTTTTCTATGTCCCCTGGTTTCCTCTCAGTCCTGCCCTGCTACTGACCAATCCTCTCTCTGTTACGAAGAATATGTGGGAATGCTGTGGCTCCTGAAATCTCGTGTGTGTGTGTGTGTGTGTGTACATATGCACAATTAAGTTCTGTGTGCTACTGAAATAGACTGCCCAATGCCACATGATGGTGGTCTACAATATTCTCCTGTTCCTAATGAGATGAAAATCAGATAGTTATTTCAATGAAAAAAGAAGGAAAGAAAGGCTAGGAGGAGGGGGGCAGGGGCAGGGGAGCCAAACCCCATGGATATTACATGTACCTCCTCAGGATTTTCCAGATGGGGTGTGTAATTGCTGAAGTCCTTATAGTCGACCATGTAGGAACTTTTGTATATACTCAAAGACAGAGATGCCTGCAAATATATAATAAAAATATAATTAAATAAAGAAAATAAAGAAAGAAGAATGCCACCTGATGGGTTCCCTAGAACTTAGTGTCTGGCACATAGTAGGCACTTAATAAATGCTTATTGATTGATTGGAAATGCCAACTTTATTTGCTGCCAGATCAGACTTCTATTGTTATTGTCAGTACCTCTTTGCTGTAGACATGACATAGGGTAAAGACTTCCCCATTGTGAGTTCTATGTCCCTACCTTGGTCATTTAGTAGCTATGGGTATTAAGGAAATCACTTGACTGCTCTGGATCTTAGTTTCCTCATCTGTAGAATGGGGAGAATATCTGTACTACCTATCTCATGGGGGTTGTTGCGAGATTTGAATGACATAATAGATATTAAATGTTTGGGAAACCAGAAGGCATTGTAACAATCCTTTCTCCTAGGCCTATTCCCCACCCATGAAGGCAGCTGGTGGCTCAATGGATAGAGCACCAGCCCTGGAGTCAGGAAGACCTGAGTTCAAATCTAGCCTCAAGCACTGACAAGCTGTGTGACCTTAGGAAAGTCACTTAATCTCTGTCTACCTCAGTTTCCTTAAGTGTAAAATGGGGATGATAATAATAATACCTTCCAGGGTTGTTAGGATCAAAAGAGATCATAATGGTAAATTGCTTAGCACAGTGCCTGGAACATAGTAGGTGCTATATAAATGCTTATTCCTTCCTTCCCCACCCCTAAGAAATAATCTCTCCAGTGAAAAAAGCACTGGATTTAGGCTCAGGAGAATTGGGTTTAAATTCTATCTCTGATACTTGGGATCATTTGTTTATTAATTAATATTTATTATTAGCTTATGTTAGATTGTAAGCTCCTGGAGGGCAGGGACTGTCTTTTGCCTCTTTTTGTATCCTCAGTGCTTAGCACAGTGCCAGGCACATAATAGATGCTTCATCAATATTATTGAATGATTGATTATAGCTGAAAGGGTATACTTACTGATCCTATCTAGCCCCCTCATTTTCTAGGAAATAGAGACCAAATGAATTGCCCAGAGTCACCCAGCTAATAAGCCAGAATTCAAACTCAGATCATCTAACTTCAAATCCATAGTTCTTTCCACTATAGAACTTCCTATGGGCTGATTTACCATTGGCAAGACCACCTATAGAACAAGAATAGTACTTACAGAAAGAGCACATGGAGTGGTAGCTAGAGAGCTGGCCACGGAGTCAGGAAGACCTGAGTTCAAATTCTGCCTCTGACAGGTTGTTGGCTGTGTGACTCAGGCCAAGTTATTTTATTTCCTCAGGGATCTAAGCAATTCTTTAAAACTACAATTTGCAGAATAGGGGAAATTGCTTACTGGGGGAAGAGAGTGTCCCTGTATTAATGAAATCATGGCTCTAGTAAAAAAAATGGGGGGGGAGATAATCATAACACCTACTAATGGTGTGACTCTGGGTAAATCACTTAACCATTCTGAACCTCAATTTCCTCATCTGTAAGGGGGATATTAGCAGCCCCTGTATCACAGGATTGTTATGAGGATCAATGGATAATATCTATGAAGCACTTTGCAAGCCTTCAAGTGTTATATAAATGTAAACTATTAATATCTACTAATTCAACACCCTCTCTTTATGCATGAGTAAATTAAGGCCTGGAGAAGTCAAGGGATTTGACCAAGGTATTAATTTCCATTTTCCTGCCTAGTATAAAATGTACCAATTGTATATGAATGCTTCAGAGTCCACTGAAAGGAGTAGTAAGAAGCTAATGAGCAATCCCTGAGACGTTTGAACAAAAGGGAAAGGAAAGTCCTGAAGACTCACCTGGCTGGGATACAACATACCCTCCATGATGTACAGGAAACCCTAGGAAGAAGATAAGTTAGATATAGCAAGTAGGTGGATGCCAGGGGTTGGGGGAAAAGCACATACTGACCCAACTATCCCAACTACGCAAACCCTCCCTGGCTTCCCTATTTCACTGTCTACCTTTCCACTGCTTTACCTATCAGGCAAAGGGAGAAGGCCAGGCAGGTGGGTGGTCAGCCTCAGGGTAGCTGGACAGTGGGCAGCAGGAAGGAACCTCGCCACAAGAACTCGGGGCTCAGAGACAGACCTCCAGTCCTTGGAAGGCCTGTGGCCAACGTGGGGCAGAATTCCAGCTCTGGGATCAGAAAGTGGGATGGTAGGTTGAAAGCCCTTCATCTTGAGCCGGCTGATGGCAACCGTAAAGACTGGTGTGGAGACAGACAGCTGAATGGCATGTGGGCAGTGACCAGGGAACAAGGAGATTTGACACAGGTTTGTTCTATGTAATATTGATACTGCCCATCTAATCCACCAGTAAACCAAAGTGCTAGGATGGGTGTTACTAGGCAGAGCCAACCAAACCAGGGATCCCGGAGAGATCAGGGTTCAGCCACAGGAGAACCCTCATAGAAGGAATGTCTGGTTCTGTGGAAGTCTGTGGGCAGGTGGGAAAGGCTACCTGGGTGGCAGGTTTGACTGCTCTCCAAGGGGACTGTGGTGTCGACCTCAGGAGGCTGTATCCAGGACAAAGACAAACAGAGCCCTGCATTGTGACATCAGACAGAGAACATAACCGGTGCCAGACCCCAGAACCGTACATAGTGCTGGATGCATAACAGAGGATTTTGGTGCCATGATAGGTTTCCAGGACCAGGAGCCTAAGCAACTGACAATTAATGGTGTATTACTCCAATAAATCTCTTTTCTCCTCCTCCTTTTACTTAATTTGAAAACGCTGGAAAAATACCAAGCCATTAACACAAAATTAAACTGAATCATAACTGCAAACTTAGCCTGATGTCACAGGCCTTTCTTTCCTGTTAAATCTAAACAGGCTCAGATAAGCTTTACTGAACACTCCCATGAAGGGGCACCCCCTTCCAATTTTAATGTTGATGTATAAAGTGAATTCTCCTTCCAAGTACCCCCCCAAATGAAGAAGCCCAGGTGACCTCATTAATGCTTATGATCCCTTCAAATGCCTTTCAAGTCTGTTCTCCAGTCTAACTAGCCAAGGAACAGAAATTCTACTATCTTTTGGTTTGACATTTATTTATCTATTTATACTAACAATAATATAATAATATATGATATCATGATATATATATATGTGTACATATATAATAATGTATAATGACTTAATAATAACTCAAAAGTTTACAAAGCACTTTACAGATGTTGCCTTGATTGATGTATGCCTGATGTATGCCTACTTCCAAAAAGTGAGGTGGCTGACAAAATTCAAAACCTGTCTATGAGAGAGAAAGATTGACAATAAAAACAGTGGAAAGTGAGGGCATGTTCATCAAGTGCGAAATGACAGAATAAGTTGTGGTGTATGATTGTGATGGAATCTTACTGTGTTATAACAAATGACAAGCAGGTTGGTTTTAGAAAAACATGGAAAGACTTGGATGTAGTAATAAAAATTTTTTTGAAAGAAGGAAAGCTCTTTGTTCCCGGCAGTACGAAGATGACAAAGGGCGTGTCTTCTAGTGTTTGGTAAGCATTGGAATAGAGGGCACACTTTGCGCCATTGTTGTAGTTCCAAGGCACACCATCTTTAGAAGTCAACATGCAGCAAATGTGAATATCCTGCTAAATGCAAGAGAAAGTATAATTGGAATGTAAAGGTTAAGCAATGCAACACCACTGGTACTGGTTGAATGAAGCACCTGAAAATCAGCTATCGCTGATTCAGGAATGGATTCCACGAAGGAATAATGCCTAAACCCAAGACAGCAGCTGCTGCAGCATCTAATTCATCTTGAGGATTCAACTATTTGTTAAAATAAATATCCTGAATGAAAAATAAATAAAAATAAAAAAGAAGGAAAAGGATTACAATAGAAGAGAGGGTTTCTGTAGGTGGAGTTCCAAGCATGGGGGAAAGAACTCATGGAGCACGTAGGATGGGTTTGGGCTCAAGTGCTACTCCAATTGGGCTAGAACGTAGAGTGAAGAGAGTAGCAGGAAATAGGGTGGAGCTGTGTGATGATGGGTTTGTATTCTACCTGATAGCTAATAGAAAGTCATTGAAGATTTTTGAGTAGGACAGGGACCATAGTCAGGCCTTTGGTTTAGGAAGATTATTTAATAGGGAATTATTTAAGAAACTATTACATTAGCCCCGGTTAGAGGTGATGAAAGATTGAGTCAGGGTGCCAGTCATGTGAATGTAGAACAATGGACAAGATATAATGGTAGCCTTGGCAAACTGTGAGGGATAAGGAAGAACGAGGCAAAGATAATTCATGGTGATTCGTTATTGTTCATGTGCTTTCGGACAGTGTTGTGCAGTAGAAGTACATCAGTAGTTGGGAGGTTCTGACCAAGTGATTTATCCTCTCTGTGCTTCCAGGTCTCATCTGCTAAAAGGGTGTGGAAATACCTGCTCTCTTTTCCTCAAAGGACTATTTCCAGACTCAAACAAGATAATATTTATTAAAATACTAATAGCTCACATTGAAAATATCTCCCTTTTCCTCCTCTTCTTTGCAGAGGTGGGGGCCTATGGGTGTGGAACACTGCAGATGCTGTTCCACTTGTTTGATATGTTGGTTGTTTTTCTCTTACTTTAGTGTTCTCTGTTATAAGGAATGGCTCTTTGGGAGAGGGGACATATTACAAAAAAAGGTTGTAAAAATATCAATAAGATAAAGACATAATTTAAAAAATTTTAAAAAGCACAAAATGGGGTTTTGCACGAATCTAGGATGTTGGCCAAAGTTTAGCACCTGGAATACCAAGAGTCAGAATCATCATAAGATGTTATTCCTGTGGAGTGTGTGTGTGTGTGTGTGTGTGTGTGTGTGTGTGTGTGTGTGTATGTGTGTGTGTGTGTGTAATCCAGGGAACCTGTGATGCCCCAGATGGGACCTCCTCCCATGGACCTTGATATATATTCTGGACCCTTGGTGAGGGACATATGCTTTTCTGTAGTAAATCAGAAAACTCCTGATTAGTCCCCCATAACTGGAGGGAAGGTGGCACAGTGTATAGAGTGCAGGGCCTTGAGTGAGGAAGGCCTGAGTTCAAATCCAGCCTCAGATACTTGTGAAGCTGTATGACCCTGGGCATGTCATCGAACCCTGTTTGCCTCATCTATAAAATAAGCTGGAGAAGGAAATGGCAAACCGCTCCAGTATCTTTGCCGAGAAAACCCCAAATGGGATCACAGAGTCAGACACAACTCAATGACCGTAACAACAACAGTTTGGGGAGGATGGTTACTGGAAACTGAGCATATGTAGGAAAGAACTGTTAATGACATATCCCCTCCCTCACCTCACCCCACTCCTGTGCCTGGGGCCTAATCAAGAACTCCTGTATCATCCCAGCAAGGAATCTCTCCCTCAGCAAGGAGACCAAGCTCAGCTCCCTACAAAGTATTTTGGCAAACCAAGGTTTTCTCTTCATTATTCTCAAGTCGTTTATAGAGAGGGTCTTTAGGGATCACTTAGTTCTACTGCCTTATTTTGCAGATGATCTGGAGAAACTGTGGTCTGGGGGGCTGATATGACTTCCCCAAAGTCACCCAAATTCTCCCCATGGCCTTGAGAGTCACCATCTTATTTGTCCAAATCAGGAATTTTCTTACCCAATGTTGCCTTGTTATGGGCTTCCATTCGTCGTCCCCCAATCTCCCTCCTTGCCCCCTCCCCCCAGTTCTCCTGAGGTTCTGAGGAAGGGGAAACTGGTCTTGGAGTCTATAATGTCCCTGAAATTAAAGTTGTTACTGATTTTAAGATAAAGGCTTCCAGTCAGAGGCACTAGAGTACCGAGGGCTAAGTAGGTGGCAAGATGGAGTCTGCTTAAAGAAACTGGCTTTAGGGAGCTGCTTGCTCCTTAAGACATCAGGGCAATGCTTTGCTTAGAACACAAATTGCCAAAAAGGCAACCTTATCCATGATGGTGCAGTGGTTAGAGCACTGGGCTTGGAATCAAGACTGAAGTTTGAATCCTTTCTCAGATGCTTAATGGTGTGACCCTGGATACTTAATCTCCATGAGCCTCAGTTTCCTCATCTGTAAAGTAGAGATAATAATAGCACTCAACTCACAGGGTTGCCGTGCTTTGTATACCTGAAAACATTACATATTGGCTTTTATTATTAAATTTACAGGATCTCAAATTTTTTTTAAGAGAAGACAGAGTCTGTAACCTATAGACCAGTAAATTCTACTTTTACTCCTGGAAAAGTTCTAGAGTAGGTTATTAAGGGGGTGGTTAATGAGCATTTGGAATAAAATACAGAGATCACAAAAGCCAGCATGACTTCCTCAAGAACAGGCCACACCCGTTCAACTTATTGGCCTTCCTTCTTGAGGACCGAAATGACATCACCATAATAGTCAAGTTAGAGTGTGTCTGACTGGCTGATCAGACCAATACAGTCTTGGAAAACTCTACCACAGGTCTGGCACAAATAGTCTATGTGAACATCTGGGCTGGATTCTCTACATTTGATCATCTCATGTTTCTTTTGAGCTACTTCAGTTCTGCTTTGCTCATGGAGCACAGCTCCTTCTTATGCTGAGGGGTCCTGTGCCAGTCGTACAATCAATTCCAAAATTCTTAAGAGCTGGAAGGCCCTTCTCACCAAGGCTCCCATGAGGCCCCGGTTCTTTGTCTGGCTTGGGAGTGTTCTTTCATTTGAATCGAAAGGAGAGTGGTGTCCCAGCATCCCAGAGTCTGGATTTTTTCAGCCAGTTCAGCACCAATGGCCAGAGGAACCACAAGTGACCAGCAGGCCTCAGCCCAGGGTAATTCAGACTAAGATTCACCCAACATTCTTGTCTCAGTTGGTCAGGAAATTAGTGGGACCAAGATTATGTAGGCACTGGGTTAAGAGTGAGCCTTCTCTCCCCAGATATGGGATAGGGAAGAGTATGTCCCCAAGGCATTGGGGAGAAAGTTTGTATGATTGTTGATTTCATAACTTTGAAATAAATACCCCCTTGTAAAAACTAATTGATTTTAGTTGGATAAATGGAGCATTCCTAACTGGTAACCAACAGTGGGGGGACATGGTGGGAGCTCTCTCCAGTGGCATTAGAGAAGAAAGATTCCCCAAACCTCTCAGGGTACGCTAGGGCCCTGAGGGGGAAATACAGCCAGTTCAGCTCTGGGATTGTAGGCCAGAGCATACTCACAATGTGATGTTTCTCCTTCTG